TACTTTTAGAGCTGTTTGTTTAATTTAACTTAATTGATTAGAGCAGCATGCTAGTGAGATCATAGTGATAGGTTCATGAGGGCCAATTAGTTTTCCTGTGTTCTATATCCATAAAGGTGCCTTGGTGGCATAGTGGTTAAAGCACTTGACTGCTAACCAAAAGGTTTTGTGGGAGAAAGATGTAGCAGTATGTGCTTCTGTAAAGATTATAGCCTAGGAAACCCTGTGGTACAGTTCTACTCTGTCCTACAGGGTCACTGGAATCAGAATCGACTCAACAGCAATGCATATTAGTATACCTACCCATAGACTTTTAAATCTGAGTGGACATATTATAAATGTCTTGTTAGCCTTCTGACCACCTAACTTTGTAGAAATGAGTAATCTGGGATATAAGGAGAAACTAAAAGGGAGAGTAAATGTGGGTGAATCAGTACAAATCCATGACCAGAAAAACTGCTCAAAAACCATGGATTACTGAGTATTAAGTGACTATTTGCTTTATCTTTATATAAAAAAAGCCTTTTTTTAAAAAAATAATCTAATCCAAATATCTGATAGTGATTAAGAAAATTATGTTAATATTGAGAATATTCTTGGGTTTTTAAATAACATTTTTGAAGATTTTATAGTGACATGAAAAGTTTTTGTGGGAAGTGCTGGGATAATCGGTGTAAAAATATGTTTTTTAACTGTATTTCAAAACATAATTTGAGAAGTGCCTTTTAAAATGCAAAATGATACTGTGATAACTATAGAAATGTGACTTTTTATTTTCCAAATTTTCTGATGTAATTATAGTTATTTTTGAATACAATGTATAATAGAAAACACTTTTTAAAATTTATTTTAGGGTTTTTAAAACACTGGGGGACTTTTTGTTTTCTTTTGTATTGTTTTAATTCCATCCTGAGAAGAAGGCCTAGAAGGAGGACCAATTATAGATTGGGGATCCAAGATAGAAACCACTTAGTGAAGATTTAGGGGTGTTGAGGGAGATTGTCTTAGCTTCCCTATATAGCTCTATACCTTCCCCATGACCTAATACCTAAATACTTTTATTAATAAGCTAAAATCTACTCAAGGAAAGGGAGAAAAGAATTTAGATAAACGCTTTTTCCAGATAAGCATCTGAAATTCTGTAAATGCCCAACACTTTAAAAAATGCTGTGTGTGTGTGTGTGTGTGTATGTTTCTTTTTTGGTGATTTGGGTGAAAGTTGACAGAGCAAATTCATTTTCCATACAACAGTTCACAGCACATTTTGTTTCATGACATTGTTTGCAGTCCCCATAATGTAACAGCTCCCTTCCTACTTCTTTTCCCTGTGTCCTTTCCTATGTATTCCTGCCTTCTGATATATCTCCCTGTATAAATACTGCCCTTTTAATGTCCCATGGCTGATTGTTATAATCAGTGTAAAAAATATGTTTTTTAATTGTATTTCAAAAACATAATTTGAGAAGTGCTGGGATAATCAGTGTAAAAATATCTTTTTTAACTGTATTTCAAAAACATAATTTGAGAAGTGCCGGGATATTTTACAGCATTTTAGAGTGGAGCTTCAATTTGCGCCCTTCGGAGTTCCCTCCTGCATTATAGTAGTGATAATTACCTCATGAATTTTTTTAGTGAAAGCTTGTTGTTATGTGCCATCGAGTCGGACCCAACTCATAGCAACCCCTCCTTGGGTTTCCGAGGCAGTATCACTATGGAAGTAGATTGCCCAACCTTCCTTCCGAGGAATGGCTGGTGAGTTTGAACCTCCAGCCTTCTGGTTAGCAGTCAAGTGCCTCAGGCACCCAAATAGTAAAAGCTCTCTTAATGATATGATCAGGACTAGGAATTATATTTTAAAAAAGGTAAATAAATACCTCAACATTTTTATCCTTAATTTAAAGCAAAAATTTTAAAATGTATTAATTTCCCAATCTTTTGTGTAGAGAGCCTCACTTGATAGTTTATCTTATATAAAGCACACTTAAAATATATCATCTAAGACTTCAGTTTTCTCTAAAACTAAGAAGAAGAGCTTACTCATGGCAACCTAATGTGTTACAGAATAGAACTGACCTCCATAGGGCTTTCTTGGCTGGATCTTTATGGAAGCAGATTGCCAGACCTGTTTTCCATGGTTCAAACTGCTAACCTCTTGGTTAGTTGTTGTTGTTGTTGTTATGTGCCGTCGAGTCGGCCCCGACTCATAGCGACCCCTCCTTGGGTTTCCGAGGCAGTATCACTACGGAAGTAGGATTGCCCAACCTTCCTTCCGAGGAGTGGCTGGTGGGTTTGAACCGCCAGCCGTCTGGTTAGCAGGCAAGTGTCTTAGCCACTATGCTACCAGAGCTCCCTTGGTTAGTAGACAAGTGCAAACCATTTGTGCTAGCCAAAGACCTGAACAAGAACTCAGACTCCAGCAACATAATCTGAATTGAGAGTGCCAGAATTTTGGAGATTCTTTTCTTAGTTGTTTATAGTATTTCCTCCTGTACATGATTCTGAACAGAAAAATCAAAATCCCATTCTCACACCAAATTGTTAAGGATCGATTCAGTTCAGTTCTGTTCCACTTTGGTTCTGACACCGGCTGCACATGAACACTTCTTGCTCTGACAACTAGAGCTACGCCAGATCTCACAACTTAGAGGACACAGTCATCCACACTGCTAAGTTGACCCAAGATTTTGGATGCCAGCCATAAGCTTGGGAGACCCGTGGCACCCTCACTTCCGATGTGCTGGCTACAAATTTGGGTTTTCCCACTGTCCCTCAGAATGTTAGCCATAGGCTTGGGAGAACCCAGGGCCCCCCTCACTCATGACCTGATGGTTCCAACAACTCTCTTGGGGTTCAGTAGCCACTCACAGAACTCATGGAAAGCTCTATATTTAGGATTACAGTTTTATGATAGCAAAAAGGGTACAAATGAAGAGACGCATAGGGTGAGGTCTGGGAGTGTTACCAACGTGGAGTTTCCCTGTTGTGCCACCCCCACCCCCACTCCACGTGCATGTCTTTCACCAGCCAGGAAAACCATAGTGCATTCTTGTCCAGACCCCTTATTGTGGGGTCTCATTACATATTTCCAACACTAACCCTACTCCCCTGAGTTTGGTCGGTATCATGTCATGAGGTGATCATGAGGTAATCACGTGATGGTTGATAATCACCTGGTGGGTCTTTCTGGCCTGGCCTGCCCCTATCTAAGAGTTACCTCATTAGCATAACCTGTTAGGTTAGATGTGGTCTGGAGACACTAAGGATTATTGGGGAAATTCCAAGGTTTTAGAGGTTATCTCTTGCGAACCAAGGACAAAGACCTTTTGGAGGTGAAGTTAATGTAAACCCCACAAATTCTATTGCAATTTTTTTTAGTCTTTCTCAAACCCCCCCTTAATTTTCATAGAAATAATAACTTTTTGTATTTAGATTTTATCAGTTTATAATTTCTTTGCAACATTTTATTATGACAGTTTTCAAATATACAAAAACAAAACAAATGTAGTGAACAGTTTATATCTTACTTAATTGAATTAGAGAATTATAATACCCCATGCAACTGGCATATAACAATCCGGTAAACAGGCACAACTGACTCTTGGTTGTTGTTGTTGTTGTTGTTGTTGTTGTTATTATGTGCCATGGAGTCAGATCCGACTCATAGTGACCTCTCCTTGGGTCAAATGCCTTAGGCACTACGCTACCAGGGTAAGTTTATATAAATTAGGTGGGAGCATGACAGGAAGTTAACATTTTAACATGCATAATGGAAAGTGTTTATTAATTCAGTGTTGTAATTGTTAGCTAGGAGCTCTGGTAGCATAGTGGCTAAAGCACTTGACTGCTAACCAGAAGGCTGGCGGTTCAAACCCACCAGCCACTCCTCGGAAGGAAGGTTGGGCAATCCTACTTCCGTAGTGATACTGCCTCGGAAACCCAAGGAGGGGTCGCTATGAGTCGGGGCCGACTCGACGGCACATAACAACAACAACAACAATTGTTAGCTGCCATTGAGTCAGCCCCCAACTCATGGCAGACTCATACACAATGCTGTGAAATGCTATCTGGTCCTGTGCAATCCCCATGAACAGTTGCAGATCAGACTATTGTAATTCATAGAGGTTTCATTGACTGATTCTCAGGCATAGGTCAGCAGGCCTTTCTTCCTATTCTGTCTTAATCTGGAATCTCTGCTGAAACTTGTTTAGCATTATAGCAACATGCAAGCCTCCAGCAACAGACAGGTGGTTTCTGCACATGAGGTCCACTGACTGGGAATTGAAACCAGATCTCTTGCATTGGAAGTGAGAATCCTACCACTGAACCACCAGTGCTCTTTGTTAATTCATGAGAGCATATGTAAGGGCAGGGACCCTGAATCTTTTTACCTTCCAATAAACTACTGGATATATGTCCCCCAAATTCTAAAGAGAGAAAAAATTTTTATGGTAATTTTGGGTGGAAAATCAGTTGGAGTTATTAAATATCTGATGTTGTGAACTAAGGTAGCTGGATTTGGAATTGTTGTTATGTGCCATCGAGTCAGACCCGACTCTAGTGACCCCTCCTTGGGTTTTCGAGGCAGTATCACTATGGAAGTAGATTGCCCAACCTACCTTCCGAGGAGTGGCTGGTGGGTTTGAACCGCCAGCCTTCTGGTTAGTAGTCAGGTGCCTTAGGCACTACGCTACCAGAGGATTTGGAATTAGTGCCTATTAAAGTGATAGGATAAGGCTTGATGAGTACCGTGTTGTGGCTGGGTGCTGTCAAGTCACTTCTGACTCAGAGTGACCCCATGTGACGGAATAGAACTCCCATGGGATTTTCTAGGCTATATTCTTTACAGTAACAGATCACCTGATCTTCCTTCTATAGAGCCACTGGGTGGGTTAACCTTTCCATTTGCAGCTGATTGTTTAAATCATTGTGCCACCAGGGCTCTTTGATAGGTACTGTATTAAGTTCAATTATTTATTTACTTTTCTTATGCTTTCTTATAGGTCATTGGTCTGCTGGATGTATTTACACCTGCAAAGTCTCTGGAGGAATTCAATGATGTGTGAGTAAATTTTTTGTGTTTGCCTTCTCTGATAGAGGATAAAGATTAATGGCCCTTTTTTTTTCTTAAACCATTTAGCAATATACAGACTTCAAAAGAGTCTTTATGCCTATCACCCAACTCTTCTGGTTGATGAGGAGGGTGTAGATACAAAAGATGTATATTATGGGTGGTACATGTTAATTTTGCCATCATTTCAGGCAGTCATGCTCCACTTGAAGAGTCATGGTGAATCCTTACAAGAGTTCCATGAAGAATAGAATATAGGGAGCTGACTCTGATTTTTCTACTCAAATTACCTGTCATAGCTTTTAAAGATTCTCTTCAAGAAATGGAACTGAGACCCAGTTCTATGTAGGCTCTTTCTTCTCTTTTATCCCATGTGCATGTGAGAGATGGTACTAGAACTGCATGCTAACATTAAAGTATTGGATTTTTGTGTATAGATAAAGGGTGAGAGAGAAGCTGATGAATAATGATAGTCTCCCAATTTTGTGACCATCTCTATTTTAACATGGATTCCCCCAGGAAAGCAGAGTCTGAGACTCAGAGACTAGTAATGGGAGACTAAGGAAAATGAAGCAAGAAAAGAGGGAAAGCTACTACAATATGTCATTGAGTCACCCCGTGGGCAAATGAGCTCAGAATTGCTGAGATCTTTTAAGATTCTATGCAGAATATACCTCAAATAATGGGGAACATTTATCCTTTGGCTCCTGACTCCATTGGCAAGGGTGGCTCCATGGGGCATTGATCCCTCCATGCCTAGGCTCCACATGTTTGAGTGTAAGATAGGTTTCAGCAGGCTTTCCTGGGTATGTATGAGCTCTTTACTGTTGCTTTTCTAGTAATATCTGAATTAGCACCCCTATGCCTCCATTCAGGAGCTCTGGTGGCGTAGTGCCTAAGGCATTTGACCGGTAACCAGAAGGCTGGTGGTTCAAACCCACCAGCCACTTCTTGGAAGAAAGGTTGGGCAATCTTTTTCAGTAGTGATACCATCTCAGAAACTTAAGGAGGGGTCACTATGAGTCGGATCCGACTCCACGGCATCGAGTTTGTTTTTTTTTTTTTTATATCTCCATTCACAGGCTCACCACACATACCTCGTATATAGAGTTATACATTTGGTCCTGTTGAAATGTTGGTATTTCTTACTGGCAAGGGTGACTATTATAAAAGTTCAAACAATTTTAGACCAGATGACCTACTCTTCCTTAACTTCCACTCCCTATTGTCCCTAATGCTGATCCTGGATACAGTTTTTCCCACTCAAATCCTGGTCTGCATGCAAACATCATTTGCTCCTTTCCCACAGAACAAGCAGGGCTATCTATATATTTGATCTTGTGTGCTCTAAGTAAGAAAGGAAGAAATAGATGAAAAAGAAATACAGAAGATAAAGAAGGAAATGTGGCAAAAAAAATTCCCACCATTTGAACTTATTTAGAACATGGGGTATGGTTAAGAGTAGATGAGAGAGAATCGGCTCCAAGTGCAAGTACTCTCCACCCCCATTAGCCTTGTTCTTGCTGATGAAAGTTTAAGAAACCAGCAAAGGAAAAACTAGGCAGTAACTAAGAACAGCTGTGCTTTCTGCAGCCCTGCTTGGCATCAGAATGTGGAGGCTTCCAAAGATTACTGGATGCCACCTAGAGACATAGCATGTGTGTTATAAATTGTTGAGCTTTGCTGGAGGCTCTGCTTGGAAAAAAGAAAATTGCAGAATGTGATTTTTTTTATATTCTGCCTAAATGTATAAGAGATGCTGAAGTGATGTGTTTGTAAAGTAATGTGCTTGGAAAACATCTGAATCAGGTCTGAGCTATAACCTGAAATTTTAGGTATAGTGAAAATTGACTTATTTAACAAAGAAATTGGTGATTTGCTGACCTGGGTAATGCTTTATTTTGGCTTACTCAGGCATTCTGAAACTGGAGTATGAGCCTATTTGATTTATGTGAAAAGACCTTCATTAAGGCCAGTTTCTATTTAAAGGCTAAGTTTCACTGATTATAGTACCTTTGGTTCTTTCATCTTTATGTGGGTCCATAATCTGCAACTAAAGTTGCATATGTTTTATTTAACACAATCATGAGTATTGAGCAGGAATCTGTTCTTTCTGCTTAACTCTCTAGTTGGGTTCGGACTGTTCTTCATAAACAAGAACTGAGTTCATCTCTTAGGAGCAAATGCCAGTACTATTTGTTGAATACTTACTGAGTGCAGAACACCAAACAATGTTGAAACAGGCTCAAAATATTTAGAAACATTAGCCCTTCCTTTTGAGGAAATCACAAATCTGGTTGGGGAAAACAGAGTTAAAACAATTGTATAACGAAGTTATAACTAGTTCTGTGACCTTGGACAAATCACTTTACTTTTGTAGGCCCCAATGAACTTCCCAGTAAAATGATGAGAACTGGAGTGGTTGACTTTGGAAAGTGCTTTCAATCCCAGAGAATCTCTGAAAACAGGATGATAAGCCTAAGGTTGCCTATCTGAAAAAAATTCTTTGTTGACTCTTTTTGTGATGTTTCCATCACTGAAAAAATTAGCACTTGTCCAAGACTACTGGTACTTCAGTGTTTTCCAAAACATCTTCACCTATAATTGCAGGGTTTACAAACTCAAATACCTTCAGGGTCAGACAACATAAATGAGGCTGAGTAGGAGTGGTGGGGTCTGTAGTGAAACGGAATACATGTGCCTCCTAAAAGCATTCAAATTCACATTAAAACAAGCAAAACTCCACTGTTACGGAAAACCAAACAAGGCTGCAGGCTGTAATTTTGAACGTGAATTTTCTGTGCTAATGAGCAAAAATCTCATTTTTCAGATTTACATGTTGACTTTTAATCATGTGTTATGTGTGTTTGTGCTTTTATGTTTCAGTTAGCATTTGCATGTATCGTACTATTCAAATTTCTAACGAGTTTTTAATTTCTAGGTTAATAGACACTCTACCCAATTGGAAATAGATTAAAGAATATCCTTTGAGGAAGGAGCAATAGGTAGTGAGTTTTGATCACAAACAATAAGCAGTTACTGAATCTAACAGATGGAGGTAGTTTAGAAAATGTGGAATTAAAAGATGAGTATATCAGAAAGTTGCTCTTGATTGCCATATGATGTGGTCCTATAGATAGCAAAACCTTGTGAAGGGGAGAGCTAGAGCTTTTAAATGATTAGAAAGTGTCTGGACATTTTTGTTGCCTTCTTGATAGTAAAATTTGGCAGGCATCATATATGTGTATATGTATACTGCAGATACTTAGTTACCAATATAGATAAGCAAAAATAATTTAATTAGGAGGCGGGGCAAGATGGCGGACTAGGCAGAAGGATTGCACAGACCCTCTTCAACAAAGAAAAGGGAAACCAATTAACACAGACACAGAAGAT